AAAAAAAAAAAAACTGATTTATATGAGTGTTAAATAATTTATATTTATATTATACATTTACATACTCAAAATTGTAATATGTAATACACACTTTATCTAATTTAAATTTTTAAATATCATATACGTACATATAATATATAATTATTTATTTTCCTCTGTGCATGTGCACAAGATCGAATACTAGTGATCTCTAAAAGTCAAACTCTGACTTGCAAGATATCGGGCAGAAACAATTAAACTTCAAGCCGTAATCTATTTTTTGCAACTTGTTCAGAACATTGTTTTTCAATAAGTGGTCGAACATGTTGTGTTTGATTCATTAGGTTCCCACTTGATTTCTCAGCAATTTGGTGCAATGAATTATGATTTTTTCCAATGTGATTTAGAAATGCAGTCTTTTTCATTCCGTACTTTTTTCCAGTTTCTAAACCCATCAACAATAAAAGTATTCTAACTGTGAATTGTTGAATAAATAGCAAGGGAAACAAAATGCAGCTTCACTCGTAGGGGAATATTCTAATCAGGACGGAAATATCTTGAACCACGACGCTTGAAAACGACGAGAATACTTCACAGACCCACTCGAAGGATATTCTCCTTTGTATTAATAAGGGCCGCAACTAATATAAACTCGTCGAACTTCGTCAATTTTATCAACGAGATAACTTGATATTGACATATGTAACTCTGGGACCTGTTCAATTCTGGGTGATTTTTCAATGTGATTAACAACTTTCTCAACAGTTGGTGGTCCTCCATTATCTTCCTCAATCTAATCATGTTTTCTTTTGAAAAACGAGTCTATTCTTGATGAATTTTTCATCTCCTAAAAATAATAAAAAATAATATTTATAAAATAGTATAAGTCTATATATGATTCATGATTAAAAAAATGGTATAAACCTGTATATGATCCATTTGTTCTTGAGTGATGGCTTTAAACCCTAAGTTCCTAAAAATGATAAATAAATTAAATTATGAACATGAGTATAAATTAAAGTACTCACAAATATAAAAGAATGATCAAAATACTCGGAAGAATCAAGAAATTGGATGCATGATCCTTGTTGTTGCTGTGAACTTGTACTACTTTTTTTACCATTTTGCTGTTGTGCGTCTCTGTTTCTCTGTTTTTGGACTTGAGGTTGTTGTTTATTTTAATTAGAATAGTTTATTAGTTTTATTGTTAATAAAGAACTAATATAATATAATACACTAATAGATGAGAGGTAAATGGGCTTCATTGCTTATATTTTAAATATATATCTAATAGGAGTGTTAATTCACAT